TGTAGTGCATTGACTACAAGGAAACTCAAGATCTGCAGGGATTTGGCCAGTTGCCTCTTCATCACCGCTTGATGCAGTTTTAACAACCTCGATAGTTGTGAATTATTGTTGACTCACCAAGATTATCTATGCTTCTTGAAAAATTCATGACCTGGCATTTCTTCACTGAGGAGAATTGCATCTCTTCATTAAGATGGAGTTGCATCTCAGCTCTGGTTTCTCAAAAAATCTTTTCTCGCTAAAGTCAAAATTTGCCCAGCACTGAATGTGGAAAAGGACAGTTTAATCCTCTCCAGTTTTAAAATCCTCACGTTTTGGTTTTCAATTAATTTTGAAGCCTATGCTAATAAGTATTTTTTGTAATACACAAATGTTATCTAAATTTGTGTATCTAGGGACTGAACCAAATGGTGGTGATTGCTGCTTATGTCTTAGGCCAGGGGTAGGCAATCTTGGCTCTTTTATGACTCGTGGACTTCAACTCCCAGAATTCCTGAGCCAGCCATGCTGGCTCAGGAATTCTGGGAGTTGAAGTCCACGAGTCATAAAAGAGCCAAGGTTGCCTACCCCTGTCTTAGGCTTATCTAAAGAATTCTATGCATCTCCATCCATTTTTATAACATTCAGCATCCTACACTGGTGAATGAATTCTAAGCAAGTGTGGCCGTTTGCTTGTTCGATTTATCCTTTTATTCTAGGATCTCATAACTCCCTCTCCTCCCATTTTTTCCATTTTGTTTTTCTTCAGTGAGAAAAATCAGTTAGCTGGCAGTGAACCTTGTCCTTGATTCATTTGCAGTAGTTCATTTCCCCGAGCACATTGGCATTCAGAACGGCTAAATCGGGTTTGTGGAAAATCACTTTTAATGCCCCATCTTGTTGGCAAGAGGGAATAAGGGTGCAGAAACTCAGATATCATTGCTATTCACAAGTCTTCGATCTAATTCATTCTTCTTGCTTCGCTTCTCTGTTTAATGACCCTGAATTGGCTCTACCTCTGGAATTGTAGCCAGGAAGGCCATTATCTCCACCATTGTTGTAATCTCCACCATTGTTGTAATTCTCCATGCTTTCTTTGTTGTTGTATATAGTGTGTTTAGGTGTGTGTCGTGTATGTGTGTCACTTTGAGAGCGGGCAACTAAGTTTCATTTTTGATGTGTGCCGTTGTGCCCACAGTTAAAAAAAAATGACAATAAAGGTTATCTTATCTTTCTTCTTGAATCAGATTTTTCATATCTTGAGTTGCTCCTTGGACCGTAGACGGTCTTATCGAGCATTAATGTGTCCAGGTTAGTTGCCTCTAGCAAAAACAGGTCTTTACTATGTGTTTTTGAAAGCTATTGTTTCTCCAGCATGAGGATGGAGAATCCCATTCGTGGATTCTCCATCATCATGCTGAGAAAAGGCGTTCAGGTAAGACAACGCCCCTTTTATGATTGAAAAAGGCTTCCTGCGTTTCATTTTAAAGACTTTTGAAGTATGAATATATATGAAAACGGCCTCATTAAGTAATTACATAGGAAGTGAGCTTCTAGCATCACAAACGTTTCTTAGGTTTTATTGACGCAGAAATTATTTGTACGGGCCTGTTTGTTTGAACTACAATGGGGAAAAACTTCTGCTTTTTAGCTATTAACTCTTCTCCGTTCTTAAAAGAATGTCAATACAGATCTGCCCAACTACTTGCAAAGCAATATTCAGCACCTTGCCAATATTTTGACAGCAAAACAATTTCAGGCACAATTTATATTGAAAAGTCATGTCTAATTCAGCAATTCGTTACCAACGGTGAATTGCGGCCATCAGTTGTTGCAGCAGTCACCATTTTTATCTGGGTTGGCAGAGTCCCCCTTACTCATCTCTGCTTCCTGGTTCTCGTCAAATATATATTGAATAATGCTTACATTGGCCTTGAAAGGAATTGACAATTTTTAGCTTGTTCTATTTGAAAAGGTTTTTTCTTTTCTTTAGGAAAGGCTTTTCAGTTTGAAATGAGCGGGTCCATAATTTCTGTTACTTCACTTATCAGTTGTCGCTTATCTATTCTATTGGAGATAGAAAAAATTACATTTCCAGATTTTCTGCCCCAGCGCAATCTGAATTTTCTTTAGATTATTTTAATCAAGACAGACGAATCACAGCATGCTGTAAAGCAGCGGTTCTCAACCTATGGGTCGCGACCCCATTTGGGGTCGATCGACCATTTCACGGGGATCGGCAGCAAGGCTGTCCGCCATTTTTTTGTCCGCCATTTTTTTGTCTGCCATTTTTTCCCCTTTTCCGGCGGGTGCCTTACCTCCCTTGGGCTGGGCCAGCTGGTGGTCGGCCTGCTCCGTCTCTGCCACTTGCCAGCTACGCCTCGGCCGGCACAGGGGGTGGAACCGCGCATGCGCGGCGCTCCCGGGCAGGGAAAGTCCTCGACTTACAACCGGTTGGGTAGTCCTTGACTTACAACCGGTTTAGTCCTCGACTTACGACCGGTTGGGGGTCACGGCATTAAAAAGGTTGAGAACCACTGCTGTAAAGGAAAAGCATTCACCACCACCATGAATATGCGTAAGTGAAGGGTTGACTGCTGTCCCTGGCCCCTTTTTTGTGACCTTCAGAGCATCCAGGATTTCACCAGCAAAATCTAATGCAAAATGCTGACTCACAGTAGGATACTTTTTGGAACTTTGCTTTGTAATAAGGTAGTATAGGATGTAATAGAATCTTGATATATTAGGGCTATAATAAACTTATGAGCCTGCCAGAGTTTCCTGCTGTTGTTTTCTTATGGGATGCAGGATTACAAGGGTATGCGGGTATGTGTGTGTATGATATTTTGAATCTCTTGTGCTTACCTCTTAAGATTTAGATTTCCTTTACTGTCTCTTTATCTGTTAATGGTTTTCATGGGTGGAACTGTTTCTGAGGCTTCTCATCCATTGTTCGGATTTTGTTTGTTTGTTTTTGGTGTTGTCCTTTTTGAACAAAAGGCACTGTGTTCATCTATACATGGATGTTGACTAAGCAGCAGTGTTTTGGTTTGGTATACTGTTCACGAGGACAGATATTTTGGGCTTTTGGAGTCTTGCTTTCTGGAGAATGAGGATTAGCTCACTCGGAAAGGAAATTATGCAGATCAGCAACAGACCGAATCCTTTCAGTTTTCCAATCTGCCATCAGTTGTTGCTTGGAGTGTGATAGGTGGTCTCTACATTTAATAAACAGAAAAATGTACTTATCCCTTTGATTTGGTGTACTGGAGAATTTGCCAATGTTTGGTGTACTGGAGAACTTGCCAATCACTCAATTCTGGGAACTAGGTGGCCATTTTGCTGGTATCTTGGCTGTTGGGGCTGGTAACATATAACATTAATTTTGCAGAGCCTGCAATTGGCTTTCAATTTAAGGTTCACCTATAAAACCCTCATGACTAGACACCTGGTACTTGTAAGTCTGCCTGCTCCAACTGGAATCAAAGTGGATTCTCTGGAGCATTTTCTTTTTTTTTGCCCCACGCTTTCAAGATGTATGGGGGAATTTGAAGATGCAGCTTTTCTATTTTGATGCCGATGCTTTAAACTGCCCCCCATTGGAGATCAACCTGACCTCTTCGTCGGTTTCCAGAAAGATGCTGAAAATTGAGCTATTTCAAAAGGGATTCTGCTAATTTAAGAACTCTTACTGTATTATATTTCTTTGTTTTTGTCTTCCTTTGATATTTTTTAATTTTTAGAGTTTTATGGCATCTTTTAGCTATGCTGTGTATGTTTTACATATTTGTTATATTCCAGTGATGGCGAACCTTTTAGAGACCGAGTGCCCAAACTGCAACCCAAAACCCACTTATGTATCATCGGGTGCCGGGTGGACGTGGCCCATTGGGTGGGTGTGGCCCATTGGGTGGGCATGGCTGTGGTGGTAACGGCAGACTGGGTGGGACTAAAAAGTTCAATCAATCCCAACTTTGCAAAATCTTTTTTTCCCCAAAAGAAGTTGAAATTGATTGATTGAACCTTTTTTTTTTTTTTTTTTTTTTTTGCACACGGCAGCGGAGGCCTAAAGCGAAAAGGTTTTATAAAACCCAGCTGAAGGCCTAGGACTGGGGCGACAGCGCGCATGCCCACAGATAGGGCTCTGCGTGCCACAGGTTTTCCACCATGGTTATAATCTGTAGCAGCTGCTGAGATTTCACTGGATATAAGCCAAATAAATAAATAAAAACTACTAAGACATAAAGAGAGTTACTTTGTTTCTTTGACTATCACTTCCCAAAGGAAAAAAAAAACAATTATTAGTTACAGAATACAGAATAACAGCATTGGAAGGGACTTTCTAGTCCAGAGGTCCCCAACCTCCGGTCTGTGGACCGGTACTGGGCCGTGGCATGCCAGCAACCGGTCCGCACAAACAAGCAAACCCCATCTGTGGGATGCAGGCAGCACACAAAATCAAATACTCTCCCATCCGTGGAAAAACCTTTCTCCATGGAACCGGTCCCTGGTGCCCAAAAGGTTGGGGACCTCTGTTCTAGTCCAACCCCCTGCTCAAGCAGGAGACCCTCTACCATTCCAGACAAATGGCCGACCAATCTCTTCTTAAAATCCTCCAATGATGGATCACCCCAGGGAAATATAGTAAGATAATCCCTAACATATCCTTGATAGTTTTCAATTGCTTTTCTGTTTTTACTGTGTCTATTGATAGCACAATAAGTACTGTAAAGAGAGCACAAACTGCCTATGTTTGTCCCCAGTATCTTTGGTTTAGTTGCATACGGTCCCAATATCTGCCAGTGATACTTATCCTTCATCGTATACATTTTTCTTATGCTTCAGTTGGAAACCCACTGAGAACTTTCTCCTCTCCTAGAGGCTTTCCTTAAATTCTAACCTTCTAAAATATTTTTGTTGTTTGTAAGAAATGCTGATAACTTTTGATTTACTTCATTATTAACGATCCACATTTCTATTCCTCTAGCATCAGCACAAGCCAGAAGCGCTGCTAAGCACAGAATTTCTCCCGCCATCAGTTCTACCTGGGAAAAGAAAAGTGTCATCATGTCTAATATTACCATTGATCCGGATGTCAAACCTGGTGAATATGTCATCAAGAGCCTTTTTACTGAGTTTGCTATTCAAGCTGAAAAGAAAATTGAAGTTGTAATGGCTGAACCTTTGGTGAGTTCTGTTTGCAGCCTTCTTTCAGTTTATGTTTTTCTTAAACTATTTAATCTTCATTTGGAAGAAAAAAACAACGATGAAAAGCTGTAATAGGCAAGGAAGCACAAGGAAATGTTAATATCCTCTCCTTTCCTTTCTCATTCCAAGTAGCTAATTCCTTGTAAGATCAGAGTTACAGGGGTGTTAACATAAAAATACATAGTATAGCAAAGGAAGTACTGAGAGATTTTACAAGTTATAAAACTTTAAAATAGAACTATATTAGCCAAGCGCAGACTTATTTTGTATCTGATTAAAATTCCCTTTATTTTAGTACAATTTGAGTATACCTTAAATCCAGATATTTTTTAGCTGACATGTATTAACTAGATTTAAATATTGGCAGTTCAGGCTATTTTAATAGAAATATACTGTTGATAATTGTTTCTTATAGTATCTGAACAGCTTTTAATAATATTGAACATGATATTGAATATAACATTGAATATAACATTGAATATAACATTGATTCAGTGTATCTTGTTGGATCAGTTATAAAGATTAGTTGGAGTTCAGTTTTTTGCTTCAGTAAGAGTTTTTTCACTGTTTTTTTAATGGGAAAGGGACAAAAGTTAAATAAAAAATACTTGTGGAACTACTACTACTACTACTACTACTACTACTACTACTAAAGTTGGAAGGGACCTTGGAGGTCATCTAGTCCAACCCCCTGCTCAGGCAGGAAACCCTATACCATTTCAGACAAATGGCTGTCCAGTCTCTTCTTAAAAACTTCCAGTGCTGGAGCATTCACCGCTTCTGGAGGCAGGTTGTTCCATTGGTTAATTGTTCTAGTCCTAGTTTTCTAGTGGATCATAATATAAATTTTTAATCTGATCAGTATTGTTACATTATAATTGTATCCATTTTTCTGAAATTTATTTGTACTCTTGGGTTAACTAAATCAATTTAAACATATTTTTATTAAATATTCCCTCGTAGTATGAACTAGACTTTTTTGTTGAAATGTGGTATTATATTTATAATTTTATTTTTGACTTGCAAAATAAGATGGGTAAGTATGTATGTATAAACATTCTTAGCGACACCATTAATTAAAGATTTACGTTGTATGTAGTAAATGCATTTCAATATAATGTAGAACTATATTTCAAAAATTAAATCTAGAAGAAAAGAGATCAGTTTGAATTATATTGGGTACACGTATAATACTGCACTATATGTAATTCAGTGCTTTATTATTCCTATTTTAGGAAAAACTCTTGTCTAGATCTCTTCAGAGAGGTGAAGATCTTCAGTTTGATCAGGTTGGTAAAATTTCTTTTCAAAACTTAAAACCCTGTATTTGATAGGGTGTTTAAATAGTAGAGATCACAGAAATCCACTATGTGCATTTCCTAGGGACTGTAAGTTGGTTGACAGATTTTGTTGTACAAGTTGATTAAAAGCAGGTTTCTATGATATTTTATATTTGAAACATTTCAGATTTTTTTCTTAGTTTAGAAGTGTTTAGTTGCATCAAAGAAGATACAGTAGTGCTTAAAGGTTTGTGGACCTTTTTGAATTTTCAGTATTTCTGCACAAGTATTACTTAAAATATGATCCGTTCTCCACACAAGTCGTGTAACTAGATAAAGAGAACCCAATGAAACACATTGGTCAAAAACATTGTACTGATTCAATTGTTTATTGGAGAAAATGATTGTTGTTAGTTGCGAAGTTGTGTCCAACCCATCGCAACCCCATGGACAATGTTCCTCCAGGCCTTCCTGTCCTCCATCTTCTGGAGTCCATTTAAGCTCACGCCTACTGCTTCAGTGACTCCATCCAGCCACCTCATTCTCTGTCGTCCCCTTCTTCTATTGCCCTCAATCTTTCCCAGCATTAGGCTCTTCTCCAGGGAGTCCTTCCTTCTCATTAGGTGGGCAAAGTATTTGAGTTTCAACTTCAGGATCTGGCCTTCTAGAGAGTAGTCAGGGTTGATCTCCTCTAGGACTGACCGGTTTGATCACCTTGCAGTCCAGGGGACTTGCAGGAATCTTCTCCAGCACCATAGTTCAAAGGCCTCAATTCTTTGGCGCTCAGCCTTTCTTATGGTCCAGCTTTCACAGCCATACATTGCAAAGAAAATGATTAGGGTTACATAAAATTTCTTATATCTTCTTATATCAAGTTTGGGTTTTATACCAACTGGGATTCCATCACTGCCTAAATGTTAACCACCAATAGGAAAACATGTTAACCTATAATGTCAGATTGTGGATTGTGAATCTGTTGGGAGATAGTGAGAATTCTTGAAAGAAGCCACAGTTTTTTTAAAAAATTGCCTCAGGTATGGCTAATGAAACTTTTGTACATGGTATTTTTCCACATGCTTTCTTTTCTTAGTTAGATACAAGGATTCTTTAAATGACATATAAACCATCAGTAAAGAATTTTATATTCTGTAATTTATAAGACATACAATATATGGCTTCTCAGAGAGATATTTTTATGTCTCTTGGCACCTGCACAAACCGCTCTAGTAATATATTAATAATATTGAGGATATCTGTAGAAGATTATAGGATTGCAAAGTCAGCATGGTTCACTATTTTAAATGTCGAGTCTTTCAGAATGGAAATTTTTCTGTTAGGTGGCAGCACCCTATTGTGTGATTCACGTTTTTCTACAGTTGCTGTTATACCAATCAAAAAGAAATGTGGAATGAGAAATGAGTCACTGTCATAAAAAGAAAAAAGGAAGATTAATTTTTTATTTAAAAAATCATGTGATATGTCATACAAATTGATTTATCTATTAAGGATCACAGTGCAGAGTTTGAAAACACAGAACTAGTATAACTTAATAAAAAGCTTGGTGTTTATGTTTGAATAAATACATGTTGAGATTTTTGCTGCAGCATAAAAATGACAGATGATGCCATGGTGTTACAGCTGCGCTACAGTTTATGCATCCACCCACAAATATCTAAGAAGATTCTCGAAAAGATATTATATAGATCAGTGGTGGCGAACCCCATGGCATGTGTGCCAGAGGCGGCACTCAGAGCCTTCTCTGTGGGCACATCCGCCGTTGCCCCAGCCCCACCTCCCCCACGGCCCCCTCCTCACCAGCAGGCCCCCTGGAGGAGAGTCGCCCCCGAGTGTGGCCCACGCGGAGCAGCACAGCCAAGGACATGACAGTCGGGCAATGGGGACAAGACTCTGTCCTCACGGCCTGTCACGTGCAGTTGATGCTGTGGGGTGCGGATGGAGGGCGTGGCTGCCATGGCACTGCTGGACTGCCTGGGCAATCTGCAGCAGGCCGTGGAGGCGGTGGGTGGCCCTGCGGGCAGGTGGCACAGGGGTGGAGCATGTGGGGTGGGGTGGAGCGGGCAGGGAGGGAAGCAGAATGGGGGGCGGGGCCCATTTTTGGGCACTCGGTCTCTAAAACGTTCGCCATCACTGATATAGATTAATTACTTTATAGAAACCGTTCATATTTTATCTTGACAGTTGATAAGCTCTATGAGCTCAGTAGCAGAGCACTGTCTCCCCTCCTTATTACGCACCTTGTTTGACTGGTACAAACGCCAAAATGGAACTGAAGACGAATCCTATGAATACAGGCCTCGGTCCAGCACAAAGTCTAAGGGGTGAGTGCATTGTAGTGATAAACACCTGTGGGTAATTGCATCCTCTAATTACATATTCCTAGACTAATTAGACTTTTCATAAATGTCAGCTTTCACATGGTCTAAACATATTAGGCTTGTCACCTGTCAACTTTAAACTCAACCCCAGTCCATGCTTTCATATAGATTAGTCTCCAGCTTCACAATTGGATAAACTTAAATAACAGATAATACTCATGTTGTTAGTTGCGAAGTCGTGTCCGACCCATTGCGACCCCATGAACAATGTTCCTCCAGGTCTTCCTGTCATCTACCATCTTCTGGAGTCCATTTAAGCTCACGCCTACTGCTTCAGTGACTCCATCCAGCCACCTCATTCTCTGTCGTCCCCTTCTTCTAATACTCATCGGCGGTCAAATATTGAAATATAGTTTTATGGAATTAATAAGTGTGGTGATACTATGAATAAAGTTCACCATGCAAGACCAGACCGTTCTAGCCTGCAACTTAAAATTGCAGAAGAGCAAAAATAATTTGTTTGGAAAAAAAATAATTTAAAGAAGATTGTAAATTTTCTAAAAAACAATAAAGCAGTACACGCTAATAGCTATTCAGAGCTGATCAATTATTGATATAGCTACAGAAGGAAAATGTAAGTAGCTTTAAACTCAGATACTCAAAAGCAATTAGCAAATTGTATACGGTAATTCCTTGTTTGGTTAAATATAGTAGCAGTTCCTGACTGTTGCTTTCAGCAATAATGATCAATTGGGTGTTTCTCTGGACTTAATTTCCTAATAGATTTCCCCCCACACCTATTTTTTATTCTTTTTTGCTGCTGTCAGATTGTAAGGGCAGTATGGAATTCCAGGATAAAGATGGGCACTGGTGTAGAAAGATAATTGTGTAACTTTTTTGACTGTATGCATGTACATAAAAAGTTACATGTATTTCTGTTTTGAGAAAGTAGCTTGTCTTATGTCAAGTATATCTGATATTTTTTATTTCTTTCAGAGATGAGCAGCAGCGCGAGAGAGATTACCTACTTGAACGAAGGGACTTAGCCGTAGATTTTATTTTTTGCTTAGTTTTAGTAGAAGTTCTAAAACAGGTAAGCTCTTTAATTTCTGCCACATATAGGCTATTTTTTTAAATTACAAAAACAGCTGAATGTCTTGGTACTCTGCTTAGAGATGGAGCACAAAACTGTGATGTGCTAATCTTTTTTTTTCTTAATTGCGCGCTGCAAAATATAGTTCTGTTAAAATGAAATCAATATTTCTGTGGGACAAGGAGAGTTCAGAATTGTTAGCATGTCCTTTAATTTATTCAGATCCCCAAATAAAAATACGCCCTTCTGTTTATTTGCACATTTCTGTTTATTTGCACATATGTTTATCCAGTAACAGTTGTCTTAAGCCATAAGGATAAGCAATACATGCCCTCTCTGTTACAGATACCTGTTCATCCAGTGCCTGATCCTTTAGTTCACGAAGTTCTAAATTTGGCTTTCAAGCACTTTAAACACAAGGAAGGGTAAGTATATTTAGGAGACCAGATATATTTAAATATTTCTGACTTTTGAGTGAGTAGCGACTATTCCAGCATCTCAGAGAAGGTGCACTAATGCAGATTTTTTGTTTGAGTTCAGTTTGTTAACAAAAAGCTAGCTTAAGTTTTATTTATATTTTTTGCTAAAACAAGATCTTCATGATTTAACAGATACCCATCCTGCTGAGTTTTTCTCACATTTATTCCTAAAGAGATTGTATAAAATTGAGGCCTGGATCCTACGAGAAAGAACATGCAAGCACCGCTTCCCATCCTATATTGCAAAATAATAGTATCCGTATTAAAATGCTGATTTAAGAATATCTAAAAGGATACGATAGTTAATAAATAACTCTGAATGGATACAATAAAATTAAGAGTCGACATTATCAACGGGGGTTAAAATTCTGCCTAGATGGTTTCAAATGTAGGACATTTCCTCTGTAATGATTACATGATTCTTGGGCTTGTTGCTATAGGATTGGTGCAAAATTTTGTTACATTTCTGGAAGTCGTTGTTGAATTACCTGCTAGAAAGTGGAGTTACTAGAAGATTGTATTCAGACACATATTGTAGAGAGAGAAGTTCCCTGAGGATGGGCTCCGGCACAAGTCCGGAAACTTGGAAGACTAAAACTCTAGTCCCAGTGACTGACTCTGATTGTATCCTATTCGAACTTTGCACATGTTGGTACAACAGGGATTTTTGCACCATTGTGAATTAAAAGGGCAATATGGATGATTGGGTCAAGTTCTGCTAGCTGTCAGGAGCAGAGAACAAATGGTCTGAATGTCTATACAGTCCCGATGTCAACGCTGCTAATATTGAATATTCTTGCTTTGACAAAATATGCAGAACTGTCTGGTATTTTTAGAGTTAATTCAGAGGAGAATGAGGGAGGAGGGAAAAGCCCGTGAAAGAGAACGGAAGAGAACCTTTGCCCTTCAAAGTAATTGGAGAACGTAAATCATGACAGCAAAATAAGGGAGGGGAAATGCTAGAAAAAATAACTGCCTGGTGGGTGGAATTTCAGATCTTAGCATCCCTTCGGTCGTGCCGACATGTTGTAACATAAATAAAAGTCTTTTTAGGAAAACAATGCCTGGAAGTTCTTTAAAGTGTTTCATTAGTCGGAACTCTGACACCCAACTTCTTTGTGACAGATCGATTGATTCCAAATCACATTCCTTTTGTGAATTTGATTTATCCAAAGCTTGATGCATCTGAATGTTTTCCACAAACATCATCATTTCATCAAACTTTCAGAAAAAAATTCAACCAAAGATTGAATGTTACCGAATGGTGTTTTTGGCCAACTGCGCTTGTCTATAATCTGATACATTGTTGCTCTATATGAGTTAGGCAGGGAAGATATTGTACGGATATTTTCAATCCAAAGTTAAAAGAAAAATAATAATAAAGCTCCAAATATTTGACAAATTAGTAAAATGCAAAAGCCCTGTGGTAAAAATCCAATACTGATGTAAATCAAGTAAAAACACTTCACCACCATGTTTCCATATAGAAAAACGAAAGTTATTCAAGACAACAACATAAATCAGAAGAAGAAAGAAAAAAAATCAGTGGGGTGGAGGGCGTTAGAGTAAATCAGCATTCAGCCAGCCAGTCAACTCTTAAAAGACAAAAAGCAAAGTAAAACAATAAATTCAAAAAGTGAAAGTTAAAAATCCAGGTGTGCTGAGAAAACAAACTGCTTGAAGGAAGATGGATTGGCCCAATGATTTTTCAGTTGCACTTCCCAGGTGGATCCATAGTTATTCAAAACCCATTTTGGGTAATTCCTAAGTGCTCACATTAAAATCCATGGATCAGCCCTGCCAGAGAACCAGCTTTGGCAGCAAAATCAGCAGATTGTTGGCAGGAAAAGAAAAAAATCCTACCATTCAGCATCCATCTTGGGGAGGAGTCCTTTGTAAACCTTAACTGAAGAAGCAGAATTTGGTTATTAGCTTCAGGAGGAATCATTATCCCAAGTATGATACCACTCTTGAAACTCATTTTAAAATTTATTTTAAATCTATTTTTTTTCTTGAATTGGTAGTATGCAGCTTAGACTTACAAGCAATCCTAGACTTACAAACATTAATTCAATGAAGGTTCAATATTACAATGGCCTTGGAAAGAGGGCATTTGCAGCATGCTACATTTATGACTAGTTACAGCATTCTGCAGCATAACAATTTGCTACCGTTTTGCCGATTTCCGGCAAGAAAAATGGTAATGGGGGAAGCTGAATTTGCTTAATGACCACATGATTTGTTTAATGCCCTTGTGATTTGCTTAACAATCATCACAAAAATTGTAAAATCGAGTCTGATTCGACCTACACAACCACAAAAAGTTACAATGGAAATTCAAGTCCCGGTTGTGGTTGTAAGTTGAGGTCTGCCTGTATGTGTAGCCTTGTGTTAATTGTATCCTAATATCAAATGTATGGTTTTTCTTTTGTACATTTTCTTTTCATTGTAGGTATTCAGGGACCAACACTGGAAATGTCCATATCATTGCAGATTTATATGCAGAAGTGATAGGGGTTCTTGCCCAATCAAAGTAAGCAACTTCTTTTTTCAACACTCAAAAATTTCTTCTTTGCCACATGTTTATATATAACTGTAAATGCTTAATGATCATAGGTAATGTGCTTTTTTAGCATGACAAATAATTACTTAGTTAACTATTAATATCATCTACTGATCAGTTGCCATAAATTGTTTTGCAAGTATCACTTAAAGACAAAAAGCAAAGTAAAACAATAAATTCAAAAAGTAAAAGTTAAAAATCCAGGCGTGCTTAGAAAACAAACTGCTTGAAGGAAGATGGATTGGCCCAATGATTTTTCAGTTGCTCCCACAGGGAACTGGAATCTTCAAGACTCCCCTTTCCAGGTGGATCCATAGCTATTCAAAACCCATTTGGGTCATTCCTAAGTGCTCACATTAAAATCCATGGATCAGCCCTGCCAGAGAACCAGCTTTGGCAGCAAAATCAGCAGATTGTTGGCAGGAAAAGGAAAAATTCCTACCGTTCAGCAGCCATCTCGGGGAGGAGTCCTTTGTAAACTTTAATTTAAGAAGCAGAACTTGGTTATTAGCTTCAGGAGGAATCACACCGACTTTCTCATATATCCTAATGTAATCTAATATGACCCAGTATTGTTTGCACAGTTGTAACTATCTTTTTTTAAAATGAGTGCGATTATTTTACTGTTTACGGGAAATCGTTTTATCCATTCTTTTTGAAAACCTTGCGATCTGCCTTTCTTTGACTTAGGTTTCAAGCTGTTAGAAAAAAATTTGTTACAGAATTAAAGGAACTGAGGCAAAAAGAACAGAGTCCTCATGTGGTACAAAGTATCATCAGCTTAATTATGGGGATGAAGTTTTTCAGAGTAAAAATGTATCCTGTGGAAGATTTTGAAGCATCATTTCAGTTCATGCAGGTAAGCTATTTCATTGTATTACAGTTAGGGAATCCTTCATTAGTTTATACTTTACAGAATGCGTGAGTGCAGGTTGTTGCTATATATTTCCTAAAATTAAGTAGAACAAGAAATAAAGGATAGTAAAGTGGACACAGAGATAAAAGACCACGGAAATGTTTAAGCATGTGGTTTTTCCTGTGACATTCTATTGGAAGGGAAAGTTGGACTTCGAAGAAGCGGTATAGAAATGTATTGATTCTTTTGAACTATGGTGTTGGGGGAAAAAAATCTTAGTACTGTGGGTAGCCAAGCAAAGAAATTCATTAAACAAATTAGCCTAGCATCTTTATTCAAGCCATGAACGCTCAGGACAATATTATCATATTTTGAAGACCATATATGTAAATCTAGCTCTCAGGAGAAGCCTGTTATAATGGGAAAGGCAGAAAGAAAAAGACAACCATCAGGAAGATGGATGGACGCAGTTACAGTGGCAATGAGTGTATCATTGGAAAGTTTTAAAGGACCAAGTTGGGAACAGAACACCCTGGAAAAAATCTATGTGGTTGCAAAGTGCTGATATGACTTGATGGCACATAATCAAATGATATTATTCTTAGGTTTAATTATAACAGCAATTAAGCATAGGAATTGCAAGTTGAGCTGGGAGTTATACAGTATGTATGAGAGGAGTTTGCAGAAAGTAAGAGAAATGGCATAATGCAGATCTTTTACTAAGAATTTGCAAGAATGGAGTCTTTAAGGAGTCAGGAATGAAAATTAGCTGTAAAGAGATATAGGTATAGCTATATATATAAAGATAGAAGATTATTAAAATGGTGTGAGACTTTGAGTGTAAAAGAAGAGGACCTGTGTGAAATTTAGGAGTAGTCAAGGTGGGTAGGAATATAGAGAATACTGGAAAACGTATTAATGCCCCGCTTCACCAATTGGAAAAATTACGATTGCCATGTTTAAAACTATGTAACATCTCAAGAGATGCTTCTAATTTAATTAATGATAATTAAATTGCATTATAATACAAATGGAAGATATGGATATGGCAAGAAGGTTTATTTATCTTAGCCTAAAAAGCTGAAGTAATTTTATCTGGACTGGTAATTGCTATGTTTATTATTGGCTGAGTTGCGATAAATTCCTTTCTTTATGCATTTATTTATTTCAATGTATGTTTTATTTATTTATTAAATTTATATGCCACCCATCTCACCATATATACATGTTTCAGATACATGACTTTTGGGCAGTTCATAGCCATTAAAATTCTACAAAAAAACAAAACAAAAAAGAACATACACAAATACAAACTAATCTTAAAAACATAATAAATAAATAAAAAATCAATAAAACAAATCAGTAGCTGAAGATTACCAAGATCAAGAGCAATCAGCAGAACCACTATACAGACTCTACCACACACCCAGATACCCAAGCCCAATGCCAAAACCAAGACTTTAGGCCAGAGGTCCCCAACCATTTGGGCACCAGGGACCGGTTCCGTGGAGAAAGATTTTCCCATGGACCGGAGAGTGCGTGGTTTTGTGTGCTGTCTGCATCCCACAGATGAGGTTTTGCTTATTTGTGCAGACTGGTTGCTGGCATGCTGTGGCCCGGTACCGGTCCACGGCCCGGGGGTTGGGGACCCCTGCTTTAGGCCTTATGGAAAGTCAGTAGGATCGGGGCCAGTCTGATCTCCAGAGGGATAATAGAGAAAAACCTTTCTTCCTAGGCCCCACTTAGATGGCACTCTTCAGCAGATAGGATCCAGAACATGTGTCTCCTGCTGTATCTAATGAGATTAGGGAAAGGTGGTCTCTCAAATAACCCAGTCCCATGCTATGAAAGACGTTATAAATTATACTGTCATCTTGAATTGAACACAGAAACATTCTGATAACCCAGGGATAAGCAACATCAGCTCTTTTATGACTCGTGAACTTCAACTCCCAGAATTCCTGAGCCAGCATAGCTCAGCTTGGAAACCTCTCAATTTCTCCTCAGCATGGCTGGCTCAGGAATTCTGGGAGTTGAAGTCCACAAGTCATAAAAGAGCCAAGGTTGCCTACCCCTGTGATAACCAGTGCAACACATGTGGTAGAGGTGTAACGTGATAGATAGTTGCAATTTCTTCACCATTTAAAAAGTTAAAAGAAAATCAGCAGATTAACCCTAAATTGGAAAAGTTAGTTTCCCCTACCTGATTATCAGCACAAAGCTGTTGGCTAGGGATTCTTGAATTCTAATCCCAACATATCTGAAATAAAATTCAAATTGTGTAGTGGTTTACATATTATTTATTTCCTGTAAAGAATGTTAATGTATAACCCACCACAATTAGATTACTATTTGTAGTTGGTTATACATTAACATTCTTTACAGGAAATAAATTAGGGGAAAAGAAAGGGACTCTATGGGGAACTCTAAATTCAAATAAAGTTAACTATGTGTAATCCTCTGGGAATGTGTGGATGAAGTTGACTTTAAAAAATTCCTCTTGGTTTCTCATAGGTTTCCAAATAGGATTTTACTCATGATTTCTGGGAAGTATTTCCTGAATGCATGTATCCACAGCTAGAGATTGGGTATAAATTCTTGAATTACATCATAAGGAACAAAAATGGTGAAAAAGCCATCATTTTGAAAGTTTCAAGCACTTGGTCTTTTCAATGATATTCCAAAAAAGGGACAGTTTCTTTCTTCAGCTATTTGTCCCAACATCTTGCTCTTTGTCAACAACTGAAATCAGTATCGAATAGAATAGTTTTGTGATCCACTCTACTTAATCGTCAGAAAGGAAAGGAAACAAGCTGAAGTAGAATTATTTCCTTATCACATAATTAACTACTTTGATAGTAGTGTTGAGGCCGTCTCATACATCTCTACGTAAAATTTTGGAAGCCAACATTTGGCTGTGTATGACATTTTGCATGCTGAAACCATAAAAGATTTTTTTCTGAAAAATTGTTTTTGAATATGGCATTGCAGGAGCATAATCAGTACCAATTCCAGATAGGTTTTTTTTTTAACCAAATCTTTGTTTTGAATATTTTTTCAGTGGCTTCAAAATATCAATTTTGCAGTGGTCTTCAAGACTTGGAAAAAATATGCCTTAATATATGTAACTGAATATCACAAAGAGTTGAACACTGTCATCATTTGGTTCATCACAAATATTAGCAAAAAATGGCATTTGGATTGTCACAAATATTAGCAAAAATGGTGTAATATTTTCAAAAACCTGGAATTTTGCACAGGAAAAAATTGTTCATATCTCAGTTAGCTTCAGCTTATGTATATAGTCGAGTCAAGTTTATTACAGTCAAAGACTAGAAACCAGAACAAGTTAAAAACACTCAAGGAATATCCAATTAAAAATTCTAGAATAAAATAATAAATAACAGATAAAATCTATATTAAAATTGCAATTTGGCATCCAATCTGTCAGTTACACATGAGCAAAACACAGCATGGCCTAACTATGCTATAATATCAATCCTTAAAACTGTGAGGCCCGTAGTCATTAAATACTAAAATGCAAAAGCGTAGTAATGCCAACAGATTTGATGTATTAGTTGTGTAAAATAGCTATGGTCGATTAATCACATGTTTCTAGAATAAATACACTGAAGGGCTGTTAATTTAAGGTTTCTAAATTCATTCCAGTTTAAACTGGACTATTCTGTTGCCTGTATCTAGTACTTTGACTACAATTTATAGGGTTTTGTTTTCTGTTACTTTCATTTATTCTTACTGAACAAGAGGGCGCACAGCAGAAATTTGATAGCTGTTTTCTTACAGGAATGTGCACAGTATTTTTTGGAGGTAAAAGATAAAGACGTAAAGCATTCGCTTGCTGGTTTGTTTGTTGAAATTCTCATCCCTGTTGCTGCTGTAAGTATTACTTATTATTTCACAAATACAGTATGTGGTATATATGCCAAAGTAGAGACATTTTCTCCTCAAATGGAATTCGCAGGTCTAAAAAACCCACTTTTTTTGTATTTGAGTGTACTTTGCCATACAGATAACGATGAATGAAGTCTAATTTTTTTACAACCAAATATGTATTTTTTTTTAAAAAAAAAATCCATTATAGGGTTTGCTTGTAACATTAAGGCCAAAATTTACTTTCTCACAATTCAATGAAACCCTCTCTCTCTCTTTTTTTTTTTAAAGCAGAGGAATCAGTTGAATTAAAGTAAATGTACGGCTGTTCTTTTTGTCTCTCTGTTATTTCTTTGCTATTTATGGTAGGACGTATAGGCAGTATTCAGAGTAAATTTTTAAAGTGTTTGGACTTGGAGCAAGTGTTATGTTGTATAACTGAATTGCTTTTATTAGCAGGATTTAAATGTGCGAGAAAGCATTACAGGACGCTCATGCTTTATTCTTGAAGATATACTGTAGATCTGTTTCTTTTGATTCTAGGCTGTTAAAAATGAAGTGAATGTGCCATGTCTGAAAAATTTTGTGGAGATGCTCTATCAGACAACTTTTGAGCTGAGCTCAAGAAAGAAGCATTCATTGGTATTTTAAGTTGATTATTTTTTTTGTCTTAAGATACAGTACGTGCAATTTGATAGTATGTCACATAGCAAATATCTGGGATCACCAGCTATTTAGGGTGTCAGAATTTGACAGAGAACTACAAGCTTTTTTCTTGATAGGATACTTTAAACAACTGAAGTTACTGTATTTTAATCCAATTGTTTTATATTGTGGACTGGTTCTCTATAGGTGTAACAATTGAAGGAAGGGAGCATTTTCAGTTGTGTAAACTAATGTTTAGAAAACTTTTCTCAGGTGCCAAACCTAGGTTTTGTTTGAAGGGAAAAGCTGTTTCCCCATATTGGTTTAAAGCGGGCCTGAGTGGGGCTGTTTGCTGAGCGTTATAGTTTAGATTCATTTATACTCCCCATGCATCAGGATTCTGGCTAATGTAAGAATGAATCATATATTTGTATTTATCAAACTGTAGTTCGTTTAACCATATTTCATTGAATGCACAACAGTTGGTTAGATATATGCAGCTCACTGGTCCATTAATCGTTTTTTTACACATTTACAGTGATTGAGTTTCCACACTTAAATAACCCAACCATACTATTTTTGGTCTCTCTGAAAGTTGTGTAACAATTTATTCCTCTCTCACAGGCTTTGTATCCATTGATCACCTGTTTGTTGTGTGTCAGTCAGAAGCAGTTTTTTTTAAATAACTGGCATATCTTCCTACAGAACTGTCTGTCTCATTTGAAGGTAAGGACTGTTTCGTCATGCTTCTGTCAGATTTAGTAAGTGATATTTTCAATCTGGATTAACCACAAAAACAATGTCCGCATAAAATAAATGTAAGGCTCTAATAGAAGAGAATATCTGTAACCCAGGGTCGAACTGTAGAGTCCTTGGTGTTCTCTGAGCTTGTTATTTACAGATGGTAACAAAGGGTTTGATTGCAATTAGGTAATATTATCAGGGCAAGAATATAATAATAATAATGATGATGATGATGATGATGATGATGATGATNGCAGGAAACCCTATACCATTTCGGACAAATGGCTGTCCAGTTTCTTCTTAAAAACTTCCAGTGTTGGAGCATTCACCGCTTCTGGAGGCAGGTTGTTCCACTGGTTAATTGTTCTAACTGTCAGGAAGTTTCTCCTTAGTTCTAGGTTGCTTCTCTCCTTGATTAGTTTCCACCCGTTGCTTCTTGTCCTGCCTTCAGGTGCTTTGGAAAATAGCTTGACTCCCTCTCCTTTGTGGCAGCCCCTGAGATATTGGAACACTGCTATCATGTCCCCCCTCGTCCTTCTCTTCGTTAAACTAGACGCTTGTCGCTCACAATAACTTGTGAGCCTGTTTTTAAGCCTCTTCGTAAGGCTTGTAATGTGAAGCGATTTCAAGTCAGAGTAACTTATTCCTGCCTATTTCTCAACTGATTTTTCATATTGCCTGTGCTCCTCTTATCCCACTTCTGATGTAACCTTGCTTTCTCTTCCGAGTTCTGTTTCTGTTATTGTGGCGATATCTGTTGGAAGTCATAGGATAGTGGAACGTTCACCATTCCAATAATGTAGTGTGACCCATAGCCTTGTTTATGATGTTGTCTATGTCAGAGGTCCCCAACTTTTGGGGCACCAGGGACCAGTTCCGTGGAGAAAGGTTTTTCCGCGACCGGAGAGTGCGTGGTTTTGTGTGCTGTCTGCATCCCACGGATGGGGCTTTGCTTGTTTGTGCGGACCGGTTGCTGGCATGCCACAGCCCAGTACTGGTCCACAGACCAGGGGTTGGGGACCCCTGGTCTATCTGTATAAGGTGTGGAGTTGCATCAATTTTAATGGAAAATCCAAACACACTTTTTAATTATTGTCACTGTAACATTTGAATAACGTATGCGCTTGATTGATTTTGTTAATAATATTGCTGTTAATGTTTGAATTCATAACTACCTAGGCTTTAAATTGCATAACAAATTCAACAGTTGAATGTGTTAGGATAGTATTCTTTCTCTTACTATATATTTTGTTACGATTGTGTGTATTTCTTTACACAATGGCAACTCTTTTGCAACATCTCCATTTTTATTGTCTCTGTCTACCTGCTGTTGCTATGTGTTAAATATAAAGGGGTATGCAAGTGTCTTTTTAATTTTCTTATTTAGAAATATCACACTGCTGACAATGAGCATATAAAAACTTCCATTGTCCGGGATTTTATTTAATCATATAGCATGTATCACATATTTTAATATAGTTTTGTTCCCCTAACAACATAACATTTTATGATGTGGCTCTGTTCAATTGAAACAATCAAAGCTATTACAATATTTGTTTATTAAAAATATGTTTATTAAAAATCTGCAATATTACAGATTTTTTTTAAAAAAATCCGATTTGGAAAAATTATACATTATATTCAAGATATTGAAATTTTACAATAGAAACATAACCATGCTCAAATTCTGTAATTAGCTAACAAATCTGCCACGTATCTCTAGTTCTCTATTTTCTCTTAACATGTTTTAATGGTTTTAAAATATCAATAAGTAATAAATTATCACAACTCAGAATAAAACTAATATAGAGCTTACATAAATAAAGTGTCAGAAGCAATCATAGAATTTTAAGATGTGTCTTGGAATGCTGGTTGACGAAGCTTTTTAATTATCAGCCTGCTCACCTCAATGCAGGAAAATATGAATAAACAACTCGGAATTTCCAGTTATTGAATATGTAGGATCTTTATCCTAATACAATTAATTTCATAATACTTGGATTTGATTGCACCTGATATATGATTCCATTTCTTATCATGGGGTTTTAAGTGAATTGATAATAACTTTGTGGGTATATGGATCAACTTTTAGATTAAAGAGAATTAGCAGTGTAATCCTATGCATGTCTACCGGAAGTTAATCCCACTAAAGTCAGGAGGTTTTGTTCCTAGAGAGAGGTGCATAGGATTGTAGTGTGTACATAGGCCATAAAGGAAATACAAGTAGTTTTAAATATTTGTAAACCAAGAAAGAAAGAAAAATGAGGAAAATATTATTTTTGCATGTTTTTAGCATTGTAAAAGAAAATAATAAAAATAGTTTATAGATAGTCTTAAGAGTGATCAGTTTTCTATGTTGGAATTCCAGCATCTAGAATGTTCAAAATTGCTCATATCTTAATTGATACAATCCAGTTTTAGATGTAGACTATTCTTGCGTGTAGTTTCTAAACAGTGACTGTGAAGTGTCGTAAATAACATACAATATATTAAGAACACTGAATTACAGTATTGTAGCATCCAAATCATGCTTATAGCCGTGATGGTGGTGCAGTGGTTAGAATGCAGTATTGCAGGCTAACTCTGCCCACTGCCAGGAGTTCAATCCTGACTGGCTCAATAAAAACAGGACCCAGATTGTTGGGGACAAAAGGCTGACTCTGTAAACCGCTCAGAAAAGGGCTGTAAAGCACTGAGCAGCGGTATATAAGTCTAAATCCTTATTGCTATTGCTTATAAAAATGGAAATCTTTCTGTGTCAAAATATTTCTGTTGAACGGAGCCCCAGTAAACAGCTTTCTGTTTGCCCTTTTTATTTTTTCATCTAACATGCATGTGCTTCCCATTCTCATGTTTGTTATGTTTTGCTGTCTTGCATTGCTTTATTTAGATCCCATCTAACAACAGTATCAGAAAACAAATAGAAACACTTCAGGTGAGTTAATATGCTGTCATAGTAAAAGTAAGAAATTGCTTTGCTTTTTGTGTTTTTCCGTTGTTTCATTGTGTATTTTATTTGACTCTGTAAAAACAAGCAGTTTTGTTTTAATATATCTAAAAGAAGAATATTATAAAAGTTAATATTATTTGTGGAGAAAAGATACTTTGATCACGGTATTAAGCATGTTGTCATTGCTATTTGATAGCGTTTTCTGTAAATATTTCCTCCGAGTTAGTCACAGAAAGCACGTTTTCATTTTATATAAAGACTGAAATAGCTTTGATTTTTCCGACTACGTAGTATGTTGGGAAGGAAGACTTTTTCTGCAACAAGCACGACAATGAGATGGGAATCGTACTGGATTATTTCTGGGACAGGTTTTACAAAGCACATTCCGAAACAACACTTAAAACTACAAATACAATGATGTGGTTCTTATGTTCATGAAAAAAAATATATAGAGAATCAATTTCTACCTAACATTGTCTTTACGTTAATTTGAGTGCCCAGTGTTTTGTCATTGCAGGAACTTGAAGTATAATTTTAGGAATGCCTTAGTTCTTAGAGCTACTACTAAATAATTTTATCTGCAGTGAGGCTTACATGAAATAGTAACAGTTTTTTTAAAAATGTTTTTAACAGAATAAAGACCCGAAAATGTCTCGAGTTGCACTGGAATCGCTATATAGATTATTATGGGTTTACGTTATTAGGATAAAATGTGAAAGCAACACTGTAACGCAGAGGTAAGCCATTTGGTTCAGTGTACTAAAAATAATGTTTAATAATTTTAAAAGTGCTGTTGCTGCCTTTTGGTAGAGTTGCCAATGGGATTTTTCAATATTCTCTTCTAAATCTTTTCCTCTACAGCCGTCTGATGGGCATAGTATCCGCACTTTTTCCAAAAGGCTCTCGCAGTGTGGTTCCTCGAGACACACCTCTAAACATATTTGTAAAAATTATTCAGTTCATTGCTCAGGTAAATCCTCTTTATAAAAGCTTTAGCCCAAATATGATAATGCCTGAAATGTTTCACAATTTCACCCGGTGGCCTTCCGGGTGCGCTTCAAGGTGTTAGTAACAACTTTTAAAGCGCTCCACGGCAATGGACCTAGGTATTTGCAAGACCGCCTCCTACCAAACACCTCCCTTCGACCAGTCCGCTCCCACAGAGAGGGCCTCCTTAGAGTGCCGTCAGCCAGACAATGCCGGCTGGCGACCCCCAGGGGGAGAGCCTTCTCTGTGGCAGCTCCTGCCCTCTGGAATGACCTACCCCCCCGACCTACGTACAGTTGCGGACCTGCACCTTTTTCGCCGAGCCCTGAAGGCCCATCTATTCCGTGTGGCCGGCCTGGCGTAGTTTGATTATGTTTTAGTGGGGGTTTTTGTATGGGGTGTTTTTAGAACAGGCCTGTTATTTAATTTGATTTTAGAACAGAAACTTGTGTATATTTATCGTGGTTTTTAGTATCGCCTGTTCACCGCCCTGAGTCCCGTAAGGGAGATAGGGCGGTATATAAATTTAATAAATAATAATAATAATAATAATAATAATAATAATAATAATAATAATAATAATAATTTGCTCATTCCCTTGTTTAAAACCTCCTGTTCTACAAGAACTTTTAAGTTACATATTTTTAATCTTTTAAGAAAGCTATGACATATATTATATTGAAACACGGGAATCTGCCCAAACTACTATTCATTAACTTTTGTTAATGAACAGAAGACTTAAAAGTTTAGGTTCCATACGTAACAAATAGTATAGCTTTCTGATTTTTGAAGTTGTTACATTCCCCTATGTAGCAGGAATTGCTTATAGCAGACATGTCAAACTTGCGACGTCACATGACGTCGCGCAACGTATCGGGACGGTTTTGCCATTGCCGGCAATGGGGTGGGCGTGGCTTCCGGATGACGCGTCCGGCCCAGCAGTTTGACATCCCTGGCTTATAGGATTTTGGATTAATGTTTAGATCAACCTGTCATCCATTCTTGTTGTTTAGTCATTTTTGAACACACCCAACGGCGCATACAGTAGAAACGATAGAAATCAGTGAAGAAATATAGTTGTCTTTTAGAAACGTTTGTATGCCATTACTAATTTCTACACTGGTAAATTTCTAATAAAACCTCTGGTAAAAAAAAAAAAAGTTCCAACAGTTTGAAATCCAGTGATGTAAAATGTTATCTAATGTTAGCTGCTAACTGCCTATGCAGGGGAAAAGATTTTGAGCTTAAAATAATCTTAAATTTAGATACATCTTTTTTTTTTTGTGGGACCTTGATCAACATGCGATAGTACAGATATCTTTAAATAATTTACATTATGACTTACAATTACCGTAATAAATGGGAAAAATGAGAGTGAGTTGGAGATATAAATAAAATTAATTAAATATGCCACAGTTACCATGCAAGTCGAGATTAGCATTTTTCCTAAAATGGTTTCGCACATGTTCTCTGGTTTATAAAAAGTTTTATGTAGTTGTGATTTTTTTCTTTTTTTAGGAACGTTTGGATTTTGCAATGAAAGAAATAATTTTTGATCTTCTCAGTGTGGGAAAGTCCCCGAAAACCTTCACTATTAATCCAGAGGTAAAAATAAAAAAACTAAAATATTGTTTGCAATTTGTTTTTAATAAGATTATAAACACATGCACTGTAATGAGGGTCTTCTAGAAATACTACAGCTAGTTTGACATAGTGCAGTGGTTCTCAACCTTTTTAATGCCGCGACCCCCAACCGGTTGTAAGTCGAGGACTAAACCGGTTGTAAGTCGAGGACTAAACCGATCGTAAGTCGTGGACTACCCAACCGGTCGTAAGTCGAGGACTTTCCCTGCCCGGGAATGCCGCGCATGCGTGGTTCCGCCCCCTGCGCCGGCCGAGGCGTAGCTGGCAAGCGGCAGAGACGGAGCAGGCCAACCACCAGCTGGCCCAGCTCAAGGGAGGTAAGGCACCCGCCGGAAAAGGGAGAAAAAATGGCGGACAGCCTTGCTTGGCAACCCCCGTGAAATGGTCGATCGACCCCAAATGGGGTCGCGACCCATAGGTTGAGAACTGCTGACATTGAGGCTAAAGCCTCAGGCTAGAAACTGGGAGACTGTGAGTTCTAATCCCATCTCGGACAGAAAACCAGCTAGGTGACTTTGGACCAGTTACTCTTTCTGCCCTAGGAAGCAGGCATTGGTAAACCACTTCTGAAAAGAGATGAAAAGAAAAGGAAAACAAATACTATACCTTTTACCTAATAATTCCAATTATTTACTGTCTGTGCTGGTGTCTCATCATCTTTGGTTTCTTTAGAGATTGTGGTCACACAAAGGTAAACTAGAGCAAAAAGAAACTTGAGTGAAACACTGAGTTTGAGGATCAGCTCCTTTCCTCTCCTATCTGTCTTTGCAGTTATGAAGAGAAATAAGACAGGATTCTGTTCCCTTTGACCAATCCTTTCTTGTGCTTGGCGAACTAAGTATCCTGGTTATAACAAACCAATTAAACATAGCATCTTAACAATCTAGCATAGTGATGGGGAACCTTTTAGAGACTGAGTGCCAAACTGCAACCCAAAGCCCACTTATGTATTATCGGGTGCCAGGTGGGCGTGGCCCATTGGGTGGGCGTGGCCCATTGGGTGGGCGTGGCCCATTGGGTGGCCGTGGCCATGGTGGTAACGGCAGACTGGGTGGACTAAAAAGTTCAATCAATTCCAACTTTGCGAGATCTTTTTTTTCCCCCACGAGACGTTGAAATTGACTGACTGATTGAAACTTTTTTTTTTTGTACATGGCAGAGGCCTAAAGCGAAAAGGTTTTATAAAACCCAGCTGAAGGCCTAGGACTGGGACGAGGGCATGCGTGCCCACAGAGAGGGCTCTGCGTGCCACCTGTGGCCCCCGTGCCATAGGTTCGCCACCACGGATCTAGCATTTGTAATGTTTGTGTTTAGCAATTGAACAAGGTTTGTTTTAAATCCTGAATTTTAATACGGTAACACATTTGGAATTGGCTGAAGTGAAACTGAATCCCTGTTTGTTCTTTCTCCAAAAGGAGGACAAAAGCACATGTGTCTGAAAAATCTTTCGATAGATCTGAGTATCCTTTCCAAAGCCATACATTTTTCCCATATTTGTTGAATAAGCTAAAATTGTCTGGCGTCGCATCACACACGCTAAGTCATAAATTGTAGTTGACAAATCATAACAGATGTTTAAATACTGCGCAAAGCGAAAATCAATCTAAGTTCACCATCTCTGGAACTCAGCCATAATAATGTAGTGTGTCCTGACATCGTTGCACAAATTACATCATGATATGTGGTGTTCCTTCCTCGTAGGTATTCATGGCCAGCTTTTGCTAATCATATAAATGACTCCTTGTAGGGTTGGCTGAGGAAAAAAACAAACCCTGACATTTAAAGCATTTTATCATTCATTTAGCCCAGGGGTAGGCAACCGTGGCTCTTTTAAGACTCGTGGACTTCAACTCCCAGAATTCTTGAGCCAGCCATGCTGAGGGAAAAGGGAGAGGTTTCCAAACTGAGCCACGCTGGCTCAGGAATTCTGGGAGTTGAAGTCCACGAGTCATAAAAGAGCCAAGGTTTAGCCTGATTTAGCCAATAGAAACACAAGAACCAATCTATTTTAAAGCAGAATTTTTAAAAAGTCACTTAGTGCTTAATTTAAGTGAGATGCCATTTGTGTTTCTTGGGAGAATGATATTTTATAAAACAAAAGCTCCATTCTGCTAAATATGCGTATGGCAGATGAAGATGAGATGGAGAGAGGCTATCTACACTCATTTTATAACATTAACCTGTGGTATGTTGCATCCTTGCTTGGTCCCTGAATGATGTTCCTCTGATTTTTGCAGAGAATGAATATAGGTCTCAGAGTCTTTCTTGTGATAGCAGACAGTTTACAACAGAAGGATGGAGAGCCACCTATGCCAACTACAGGCGTTATACTTCCATCAGGAAACACTCTGCGCGTAAAGAAAGTTTTTCTTAATAAAACTCTGACTGATGAGGAAGCAAAAGTTATAGGTGAGTAATTTATGGCTTAGGGAAGGAATAGTGTGTTTATTATTAAAAGTAGTAAATGATAGAAAAGTAACTGGTTTTTTTTAAGCACAATCAAATTAACCACATCACTTGCTTATGATTTTGAATAGTACAATGTTTTGTAGTAGCACTAAGTAGTCCTGAAAAAAGACCTTGTCCTTCGTATGCTTATTTTTATTTCACTTCAGTTGAAATTAGATCAAAAGTAAAGTTTTTTAATAGTGTGTGTGTACACACACACACACACACACACACGTAGGTCTTTGGTTATTCGGGTTTTCTCCCGCGTAAAATTGGAAGTGTCTTGGCTTTTTACGCGGGAGAATACCCGAATAACCAAAGACCTACATACATACACCCGCAAAAACCTCAGAAAACACACACACACACACACACACATATATTTGTTTATATATATATAAACAAATATATATATTTGTTTGTTTTCTGAGGTTTTCGCGGGTGTTTGTATGTAGGTCTTTAGTTATTCGGGTTTTCTCCCGCGTAGAATTGGAAGTGTCTTGGCGACGTTTTGACGAAGTCCCATTCGTCATCTTCAGGCTGGTGTTTTCAGCTTCGTGCATATGCATGCACACATATACATACACATACACTACACACACACACACACACACAATTTATATACTATAAATATTCTCAGCACCAACAGAACATTTGCATAAGTATTTTTTAACTTTGTGAGAAATCCTGCCTTTTATCTAAGCTTGAGGAAGACTGGAGGCTCTCCCTAACATGCTCATTCATACAGAAACCCAGAATATCCATGAAATATTGGGTTATTTTCTGACCCTCAGAGTGGTTAATATTTGGGGGAAAACCCATCCAACCATCAAGCCCATCTACTATAGCTGGAAGTTAGAAAGGAAAGGCAAACTTTAAGATTTGTTGAATTCAGAATTGTAGTCAGACCTGTCTCAGTCTGATCCCCTAGGGCTGAGGCCCTCGACCTTTTGGGCACCAGGGACCGGTTCCGTGGAGAGAGGTTTTCTGACGAGCGGAGACGGTGTAGTTTCCTGCATCCTGTGGATAGGGCTTTGTTTGTTTGCACGGACCGGTTTCTGGCATGCTGTGGTCGGTGCTAGTCCATGGACCAGGGAACCCCAGCCCTATGGAAGTAAAACTCTCGATTCCAGTTGATTGAAGCGACAGGTATTTTTATTAAGAGATGTTGATTGCTGTAAAGTCGGGCAGAATCTGAAGTTCCCGCACATCAATACGAAACTAATCCCTTGCTTTCCCCAGCCTTCTCCCCATGGTCCATCCATGTGTAGCCAATCTGGCACCGCCGAGATGTTTTGGGAACCACTGAGGTGTTTAGGCTGGTAAAATTCCACTCTCAGGGTAAACGGCCTTGAAGATGCCGGCACTCCACAATGCTCTGTTCTTCCTCAGCTGTCATTCCCCCCCTCCCAATTGTCAGACCCACCACCTTTGGCTTGGCGCCTTGCTGGCGTCCTGCCATCAATGAACCGGGGAAGGGAGGGGGGAACAAATGGGCAATAAAAATGTATACCTCGATGGTGGGAAATAGATAAGATAAGATAACTTTTATTGTGGGCACAACGGCACACATCAAAAATAAGCGGGCAACTAAATTTTATTTATGATGTGTGCCGTTGTGCCCACAATAAAAGTTATCTTATCTTATCAATTTCCCACCATCGAGGTAATACATTTTTATTGCCCATTTGTTCCCCTCTCCCTTCCCTGGTTCATTGATGGCAGGACGGCAGCAAGGCGCCAAGCCCAAAGGTGGTGGATCCGACAATTGTAATAATTAACAGTTTTAGTAATTCATTAGGATTTTTGAAAGAATTAAGTGCGTTTACTCCTTTTTTTCTTCTGACTTTGTAGCTGACTCCCTGCACCCAATTTTATTGCACTTGTAGTAACAAGTAGAACCCTGGATCTTCTATCTAAATCTGGAATGCTTTTCAGAAGTCCAATTGCAGGACCTATTTCTCATCCTGTCCCCAATTTCAACTTTTAAACTGGGAAGGAATACCGCTGGTTTTCGGGGATACTAATAATGTCAGAATAAATGGAATAAATATTTTTAAACGTTTAACCAATATTTGAGTGGTCAGATACCCAATTTAAACTTATGACTTTAAAAATATTGTAAAATAAAACTCGGTGTATTTCGTTGTAAGTAATGTATACAGGATTTCACTTGTATCTAATAAGATTCCAGAATCATTTAAAAAACAAACGATATTGAACTTATCCTTTCAGGAATGTCAATATATTATCCTCAAGTAAGAAGAGCACTAGATAGCATACTTAGGCATCTAGACAAAGAAGTTGGGAGGCCAATGTGTATGACAAGTGTGCAGATGACCAATAAAGAGCCTGAAGATATGATCACGTAAGTAGCCAATTAATTACAACTAATTCAGTGCAGAGTTATTTTATACTTTAAATAAAATTGGAATGATATTTTATTAATAAAAAAAAAAGAAATTTAGTCTAGATTGCCACGTTTCGCTGTTACGTTTTAACTATTTAACATTTGGATGTTGTAAGCCGTCCAGAGTCTTGTCAAGTGGGTGGCCATAATAAATTTAGTAAATAACAATATTAAATAATAATAACAATAGCAATCATAACATTTTGCTCGCAAAGGTAGTGGAGAAGTTCCCCCAGGCATATTCTAGAAACTATCTGGATTCATCTGGCAACTTGACAAGTCCATTTAACTGGTACATCAGCTGCCCGTTAGTTTAAAACTGACTAGAGAATTATCTGACAATGAAACCCGAGTTTCATACCATAGAGCAGTGATGGCGAACCTTTTAGAGACCAGGTGCCCAAACTGCAACCCAAAACCCACTTATGGATCGTTGGGTGCCGGGTGGTCCTGGCCCATTGGGTGGGCATGGCTGCGGTGGTAACGGCAGACTGGGTGGGACTAAAAAGTTCAATCAATCAATTCCAACTTTGTGAGATCTTTTTTCCCCCGCGAGAAGTTGAAATTGATTGATTGAACCTATATTTTTTTTTGCACATGGCGGCGGAGGCTAAAGTGAAAAGGTTTTATAAAACCCAGCTGAAGGCCTAGGACTGGGGCAACGGCGCATGTGCCCACAGAGAGGGCTCTGTGTGCCACCTGTGGCACACGGGCCATAGGTTCGCCACCACAGCCATAGAGGATCTATAGCTTTTTAAAAAAGCAACCTTTAAAAAGCTGAGGCATGCAATCTCAGTCTGCCAGGAACATGAAGTCAGAGCCTGATCCTGTGAAGAAACTTTAGCCACTGGGACATCTAGTGTGTTTTGGGAGCTGCAGTCCACTGAAAACTAGCAATGAGGTAGCAAAACAATACGTTTGACCTGTGTGTTGTGTTCAGTCTTCCTGGGCAGGTGTGGTTATCTTTGCCTGGGCTTTGATTGGGTTCTCCTCTGGGATGGTTCTTAGGCCATATCGAAAACAAGGGACAAGAATGAAGTTAATCTGAGGGAAAATGATATTCACACACCTGTTGCCTATTCTTTTGTTGCTGTATTACAGAAGAAATTCCTGTTTCTAATTAACATCTCACTTTTGCAATGTCAGTTTATGTACATAGTTAGCATGCTAGTTCTTGTTACATAGTCAGAGATATAGTGAGTATAACAGCTGTTTTAACAAGGGTGGAAATCTGTAATCATTCCATAAACTTTCAGTTGACTTAATAAAAACATTGCTTCAACTTTTTTTCTTTTCTGTGGTCAGCGTGGTTTTTAATTTTACTGTTTAATGCAGGGGTAGTCAACCTTGGCTCTTTTATGACTTGTGGACTTCAACTCCCAGAATTCCTGAGCCAGCTAAGCTGGCTCAGGAATTCTGGGAGTTGAAGTCCACGAGTCATAAAAGAGCCAAGGTTGACTACCCCTGGTTTAATGTATTAAGCCATTGTTTCCATCGGGGCTTAATCATTATAAATATATAATTGCTTTTCTGTTAAAATATATAATTTCATAGTTGTAATTAAAATAAAATTCTTAAGTTGGTACGGATGCACAACCCATCTAGTCACTGTGAAATAAGCTATGTAATGTGATTCTCATTGACAGGGGTGAGAGAAAACCAAAAATTGATTTGTTTAGAACTTGTATCGCTGCTATCCCAAGACTGATCCCAGATGGAATGAGCAGGAATGACCTTATTGAACTGCTTGCAAGGTAGGATTAGCCAAGCTTTTACTCTGGAGTAAACAATGGTCCTCAGTAAGTTCCCTAGACAGCGCATTGTATCCTCAAGACATCCCTGTTTTATCTCTTTGTCAAATTTTAAGATAAAATTATTGTAATTTTTAAAAATGAGAGTGTGGAATATTTCAGTATCATCATCAGCTCTAAGAGTTCCTTTTAGCCCCCAGGTTGTCATTAGAAAATAATTATTCTTAGAAAAATCAAAATTACGAATGGTTGGGGATTCCTCAGATATTTGCCAAAGATCGATTTTTGAAATTATGGAACTATTCTGAAAAATACGTTACAAGCTAAAATATACATTCTACGACTGATAAAAACAAAATATTCTCCTTTTGCTGCTTTAAAATATAAAAGGTTAGCAGAGGGTATTTCACGATCAAGGCTCATCTCCAAATGTTGGCTGCTCATTAAAGTTTCACCAATAATCTTAATGTTGGGTTCAGGCAGATCTCAATTAATGAGTAGGTTCATAGAGGAGCACTTTTAACTCTTCATTTATATGGGCCTGCTCTATGCAGAGTTTTATAGTTTCAAATTGTACCTTGGAATTTGAATTGGATTTAAACAAGTCACAGCTTCATCTATTGTCTGGCATAGAGGGGTCTCAGAGCTGGTAAGACGTGCTAATCTAGGATGGCTGCAGGCAAAGCAATAGTAGTTGTGCTAGTGATACACAAAGTTTATTTAATTCTAAAGGAATAAGGATGAATAAAACCTAACTGAAAGTTAATAGTGAAAGGATAGGAGTTCATGCCAGGGAGTGGAAGAACTTGGGAAAAGAGTAGTCTTATAATTTGCTTCTAGTTTCAGGAGCAATTTAATCACAATTAAATCATCTTTAGGGGACTGGAGGCTAAAACATATAAGGAACGGTTGCTGGAATTGGGTATGTCTAGTTTAATGAAGAGAAAGACAAAGTGGGACATGATAGCAGTGTTCCAATATCTCAGGGGCTGCCACAAAGAAGAGGGAGTCAAGCTATTCTCCAAGGTGCCTGAAGGCAGGACAAGAAACAACGGGTGGAAACTAACCAAAGAGAGAAGCAACCTAGAACTAAGGAGAAACTTCCTGACAGTTAGAACAATTAATCAGTGGAACAACCTGCCTCCAGAAGCAGTGAATGGCCCAACACTGGAAGTTTGTAAGAAGAGACTGGACAGCCATTTGTCTGAAATAGTTTAGGGTTTCCTGCCTGAGCAGGGGGTTGGACTAGATGACCTCCAAGATCCCTTCCAACTTTATTATTATTATTATCTGCAGTACTGTATCACTGCTAAATGTGCATAATGCAAGTTCTGGCAAATTACCACCCCAATCCTGTATATTGCCTTTCATCTTCTTCAGACTTCAGACTTCTTTTTCATAACAAATATGCTAATTCTTCATTGTTGTCAACAGGCTGACCATTCACATGGATGAAGAACTGCGTGCCCTGGCTTTCAATACTTTGCAAGCATTAATGCTGGATTTTCCAGATTGGCGGGAAGATGTTTTGTCAGGATTTGTTTATTTTATTGTTCGTGAAGTCACTGATTTGCATCCCACTCTCCTGGACAATGCAGTTAAGATGTTGGTACAGCTAATTAGTCAGTGGAAACAAGCAGTCCAGATACAAAACAAGAACCAGGAAACTCAGGTATAATTATGCTGTGTGAATGTATGTATTTTAACTGAGTAATGGATTCCCACAAATGGGGGCATTATTTTAGATATGTGGATACGTGGAAGATTGAGCTTGTGCTTGTTGGTTGTATTCTTGCAAGTGCCTGACCTTTACCATACTGGACAACATGATGAAAATGTTGTCCCATGAGGTAAAATTGCCGATGAGGCTTTTATCTGCCCCTATGTATATTCAGAAAGTGTAAATACAAATGAATAGATCCCATTGATTTTAGTAATTTCTGTTTTTCACCTTTTAGCGTGGCATAGCCAATGGAAGTGCTCCTACCCTTTCCCTGGAAAGGACCCCTTATTCTAGTGTGTTCCATGTGGTTGAAGGCTTTGCGTTGGTTATCCTCTGTAGCACAAGATCTGCCACTAGGAGACTAGCTGTCAGTTGTCTTAAGGAAATAAGAGCTCTCTTCACTGTTTTAGACATGACTAAGGTAAGCAAATTGTCATGTGTGTCTTGTGTTTATCTTAATGCTGCCTTGACTTTGTCACGTATCAGATATTTGTGTTCTTAGGGTGATGATGAGTTGGCCATAGATGTAATGGACAGATTGAGTTCATCAATCCTTGAAAGTTTCATACATCTCACAGGTGCTGACCAGGTAAGATTCATTCTTTAGAAATCATGAAAAAATAACAAATGCTTAATGATTGATTAATCTTTTGTTTTACATTACACATGTACAGGTAGTCCTCAATTTACAACCGTTCATTTAGTGACCATTTGAAGTTACAATGGCACTGGAAAAAGTGACTGATGACTGGTTTCACCCTTGCAACCACTGCCACATCCCCATGGTCATGTGATCAAAATTCAGCCACCTGGGAACTGGCCTGTGTTTATGACAGTGGCACTGTCCTGGAGTCATGTGATCACCATTTGTAACCACCCCAGATGGCTTCTGACAAGCAAAGTCCAAGGGGAAGCCAGATTTTCTTAACGAATCGATTAATGAATCACATAACAACTGCAGTGATTGACTTAACAACTGTGGCAAGAAAGGTCCTCTTTCTTAACAACTGTCTTGCTCAGCAACAGAAATTTTGGGCTCACTTGTGGTTGTAAATTGAGAACGACCAATATTGCAAGCCTTGTACGCACCAAAATAAATATTGAGCACTACTTCTTAAATCTGAAAAAGCCTTTAAACCTATGCTAAATAAAGTCTTAATTGCTGTATTTACTCTTTCTCAGGATTACATGACTGGAGAGACCGTGTTCATTGAGAATTGTAACCCTAAGCGTGCTTTACAAAAGGCCACTGGACTTTGTTTTTTCTTGAAGACGCTTCGCTTCTCATCCAAAAAGTTTCTTTAGCTGAAGAAGCTTCTTGGATGAGAAGCGAAGCGTCTTCAAGGAAAAACAAAGTCCAGTTGCCTTTTGAAAAAAGCACCTTTGGGACAACCATGACCTTGGATGACTGAGAATCTCCATAGACATTGAGAACAGCAGATGCTGTTGACAAGGACTGAATGGGTGGGAAATGCAAATAGTTGCAGACATTGCTTCAAAAATGGGAATAGCCTGGCCCAGCCTCATTCCTTTTCTCTCCTGTTTCCCCCACCCCCCACTTTCTCTCACTTCATCAGTTTGGTTCATCACTTTCTCTTCATTTCCCTTCTAGTGCAACTATCCCTTCCCTTTCCCCACCTCAACATGCTGTTTTTTCCTTATATTTTACTGGTTTTCTTCTGGAAGGAAGGAAGAGTCTCTTTGCTTCTGTGAGTAAGAGAGAATGATTACTATATGCACGTAGGGAAATAACGTTATACGTGGTAGTTTATTTTACAGAGAATTAATAAATTTTAATCCGTAGCTACTAAACTGTGGCTTCAAGCACATGTCCATATCCATATTACAACGTTCACATATTTGCATGGGGGTGGGGTACTATAGAAGCTGGCAATTGTAGGCGGATAGGGTGGGAAACTTGATTTTTATCCATATTACATATTTCTCCCTTTCTGTATTCTCTTCGAAGGGTGATGCTGATGAAGTATTGAATTTAGGGTTGTCTTTCTTTCTGGTAGATACAATAATCTCTTTGAGTAAGGGACAGCTTACTTTGGCAAATGAAATTGGAATGTTGACTTTTCTTCAGTGCTATCCCTAATCCTCGTTTAAAACTGAAAATTCAGATGTCTTTTGTCTATATAATAGTTGTTATTGCTCAGTTTCAAGGAAGAATGCCATCAACCATAGGGGAGGGGGGCAGTATTTTGTTCCCCAATATTTCTGGCTTTGTGGACTGGCAGAGGAAAGAGGGGGTGGTTGTGCGCGAGTGGCTGGCAAACGTGTACACATGCAGCCCCATTTGCAGGAGCGGCGTGCATGCGGGCCTGCCAGTCATGTAAATGGAGTGCATGCGCACGCGCTCGCCCACTGCTCGCGCAAGTGAGAATGCGCGTACGCGATTGCCGGCTGTTTCTGTGGCCCAGTTTGCAATCCCCTCACGGCCCACATGAACCTTTATGCTATAGTAGACAGAGTTCCTCCAAGCTCTGGAATGAGATGCCTCAAGTATGCTGTTATCATTCTAAACTGAAATCTGAAGATACTTTGAAAATTGCACTTTAAGCTTCAGTCACGCTTTCAAGTTTAAGCTCGTGAATGGTTCATGGGAACGGGCAAGTTAAATCAAATCTAAACAAAGTATTACTGTAGAAAGCCAGGCTCTTGCACTTGGGATTTAATTAATTTTGAAAGATCGGGTTAACAATTTAGGGGGCGTTCCCTGGTATTTGTGTTGGCATAGAAAGCAGGTAACATTTTAATAAAATGGTATTTGGTATGTCATGACAGAACTTTCTGAACTAGCCTGATCTAACAATAGCTATGTATGTCTTGATTCTATTTATTTTTATTTATTACATTAATATGCAACCCATCTCACCATGACTTGGGAAGTCTACAGACGATGCAACGATAAACATAAAAACGATTAAAATGGAAAAGAGTTACCTCAGAGCTGAGGCGAAAGGGACTGACTGCACGGGAATGAGGGCTTCTTCTTATCCCCTCAGCCACTCCATCAAGGAGCAGCCCCTCCCCCATCCATAATGATGTATATGCCATTTTAGTGTGGGGCTATTTTTGAAGAGCTAATTCACTCCCATGCTGAAATAACTGCATTGATAACGTTCTGTAGTGCCTATACATTAAGCACAATTGTTTTGGAACAACTACCAGATTACTGTCTTTCCCCCCACTTTTAAGAGAAATAATCTTTATTTTGTACACTTATTTGTGCCCTCACCCTCAGAGATGTAATGATATCAATATCTTAATTGTGTAAAATTGTGAAAGGTTTTCTAGCCTTTTCTCCTTTTCTTGGAAAACCCCTGTGTTCCTATGTCATCTCTGCTAATGTTAAATATGATTACTAATTAGAATTAGTAAATCCTAACAAAATCCTAACAAGAGGGAGCATCTGTGTCGGAGAAGGGAACAGTAAAAGAAAAATCCATACGTTGCTCTGTAAACTGTGATCTGACTGAATTTACCTAAAAGAATATTTATTTTCATTCCCCCCCCCCCCCAAATATAGTACTTTGTGCTTGTTTTGCCAAATAAGCCATTTTTGTTTTGCAGTGGGAATAGCCTTAGTTTTATGTATGCCCATAGCTTCAGAGACCAATTTTAAAGCATTTTCGGTGAGCTAAATGAATTTATTTTTGTTTCCATACACAGACTATGTTATTGTACTGTCCCAGTTCAATAGATTTACAAACATTAATTGACTGGAGCTCTTCTCCTATCAGCCACCAATTTGATGTCGTCAGTCCATCACATATATGGATATTTGCACATGTGTCTCAGGGCCAGGACCCCTGGATTATTAGCCTTTCCAGTTTGATGAAACAGGAAAATCTGCCAAAGCACTGTCCCACCGCAGTGAGCTACGCTTGGATGTTTGCTTATACCAGGCTCCAGCTGTTGTCTCCCCAAGTTGACATAAAGTAAGTCACCCTTTAATACAACGAAGTACTTTCATGTATATGGAGGAAAACAGGCTGAAAAAAATAGCTAATATTTTAATTCAGTGAAATATGTACTATGAGCTTTAAAAAAAACCAAAGTGGGATGCTAAAGCAAAATTAGTTTTGCAATTTGCTATTAATTTATATTTTAATATTGTGTATGTATGTGTGTGTGTGTGTATATATATATATATATATGTAGGTCTTTGGTTATTCGGGTTTTCTCCCGCGTAAAATTGGAAGTGTCTTGGCGACGTTTCGACAAAGACACTTCCAATTTTACGCGGGAGAAAACCCGAATAACCAAAGACCTACATACAAACACCCGTGAAAACCTCAGAAACTGAATATAATACAGATAATCCTCATTTAGCAACCAAAATTGGGACCAGCAACTGCAAAGCGGTCAGTAAATGAAACAGCAACTGTGCTTTAGTTTTCATTTGCTTTACAGACTTGCCAAGGTCATAAATATGATAATTGGCCGTAAAGATATTTTCCATCACCACCATAAATGCAAATGGGCACTAGCACAGACTACCTATGTTGGATTTTTTACAGGATTCAGAGAAACCGCGATAAGTCACCCCTGTTGTTCCCTTGTAATAGAAACCATATTTTAGGAATACAAAGATTTAATTTAAAATCTTCTCCTAGGTCAGAATAATTATAGTAGTATACACATAAACCTCAGTTGTGATATCTTGCTTAAACATTGAGTCTCATTTAACCTTAAATACTCAATGCATTATAAAATCTTCTCCCTCAAACTTTTCATTCTTTTTTTTTCTTTTTTTCTTAACAGCAGCCCTGTCAATGCCAAGAAAGTAAATACTGCCATCAGCAGTGATTCCTACATTGGGCTCTGGAGAAACTATCTGATTCTTTGTTGCAGTGCCGCAATGTCTACACCATCTTCTGCATCCACAGGTTCCGTCAGGTGTTCCCCGCCTGAGACGCTGGCGTCTACTCCAGATAGTGGCTATGGCATTGATTCAAAAGTATGTTCATCCGGTGCATTAAGCAGTTTATATTTCTGTTCTTCTTAAGCAGTTTGGATTTCTTTTCTCCTAGATGAGGTGTATACAGTTAATAGAGTAGAGTAGAGTAGAGTAGAGTAGAATAGAATATGGATAGACTAGGCTAGGCTAGACTAGGATAGGATAGAATAGAATAGAATAGAATAGAATAGAATAGAATAGAATAGAGCTGGAAGGGACCTTGGAGGTCTTCTAGTCCAGCCCCCTGCTCAAGCAGGAGAACCTATACTATTTCAGACAAGTGACTGTCCAGTCTTCTTAAATTTCTTGTTCATTTATTGAAAATAAATTTCAGAAATCCAGTGTTGTTCCCGCAGCTTTTGAAAATCAAAAGATGTATTTGTCAGCGCAGGAAAGCTTAGATAGAGCTACAATGTTTTAAAGCCCCAGTTGTTATTTTTCTTCATAGAAATGATTTATTATATGTAGTTTTCCTGTAAAATGATGCTTGAATCTTTTTCTTATCTGAAATCTCATTTTGTCATACTTCATTTTATTTTATAAAATAAAAGAATCCCTAAGGCTTTGGTTTCAAGCTAATTCCATTTGACTGTCAGTTAAGCTGTCGGTTTTGTTAGCGAAGCTCCAAATTGTATTAGAAATGATTGAGTTACTGTTTGGATACACAAGCTCTCAAATAAGCTGGTCTGTAGAGGAAATAGTCAAAGCTGAATCCAATAATTTTATTTGTTTTATTTATCCAATTTAGGTACTGTCCATCTCACTTAGAGAGACTCTGGACAGTTTATAGCTAAAAGCATATAATATAAAATAGAATAGAATATTCTTTATTGGCCAAGTGTGATTGGACACACAAGATATTTGTTTCTTAGTGCATAAGCTCTCAGTGTAGCTACAAAGAACTAAGGTGATAAGTCAGGTACAAACAACACGTGATAAATCCTAAGATACCCCTAGGACAGTGGTGGCGAACCTATGGCACGGGTGCCAGAGGCGGCACTCAGAACCCTCTCTGTGGGCATGCGCGCCGTTGCCCCAGTCCTAGGCCTTCAGCTGGGTTTTATAAAACCTTTTTGCTTTAGGCCTTCGCCGCTGTGCACAAAAAAAAGGTTCAATCAGTCAATTTCAACTTCTCACGGGAAAAAAAAAATCTCGCAAAGTTGGAATTGATTGATTGAACTTTTTAGTCCCACCCAGTCTGCTGTTACCACCGCAGCCACGCCCACCCAATGGGCCACATCCACCTAATGGGCCACACGTCTCTAAAAGGTTCGCCATCACTGCCCTAGGAGAAAATAGTAGGAAAAATGAGAAGACAAGAAAGATGAGAAGGATAATAGCAATACAGCCCTACTACTACTGCTACTACATCTTTCGGTGTAAGACAGTACTGTGGGGAGTCAGGTGCCTAGAAGAGTTGATGGCGTGGGTGGAACCATAAACCATATAAAAAATATCTCAGTAATATCAGAGCCAAATAAAACATGAAGATACTGTAGAATAAGTTAAAAAGTTAAAATACAAGGGGACTTTTTCAAAGAAGTAACACCCCCCCCCCCCAGGATTGCATGCCATTCTGCAAGCCCCATATGTGCTAGCAGAGCCAGGTCTTCACATCTTTCAAAAAGGTCAGGAGAGTTGGGGCCCACTTCACCTCTGGTGGGAGAATGTTCCACAGGACAGGGGCAGTGACAGAGAAGGCTCTCTTTCTGAATTTCACCAGTCAAAATTCTTCAACCGACTGAGTCCATAACCTACCTGCCTGGCTGTTGGATGCATTAATTTGATGGCATCAACATATGCTTGATAATCATAAAATTTCATTTCTGACCCAGCATGATAACATGAACAGAATCGGTAAATATTGGTACATTGGAATGGAAATTATAGTTTGTTCCTAGTTTTCCGATTACAAATGCAGGTTAACTCAAGCGTGACATGGTTTCTTTGCAGTTACTTGGTTTATGTGGTTTGTTTTATCTATCCAAGGCTCTAAATCTAAACAATTCACAGAAATGTAAGGTAAAAAGGACAGCAATCAAGATTTGATCAGAAAAGTTATGATCGTTTTGCCACAGCAATGTGGGGGAAAAAAAGTTAAAAGGGGGGATGGGGAGCAGAAGTCAAAATGTTTTGCCAAGTTAATTAGTCTCATTTTTCTCAATCTGTGGTGCTGCCTGTCAGCACTTTTGACTTCCATCAAAAGTGTACGTATATCAAGTATATGAAAGAGTGGAGAAGTTTATTTCAATCAATATATACAAACTTATTGAAGGAATGGTTTTATACTTCAAGGCGGCTTTCATGAGCAAAGCAAGTGGTATAACATCTATTTTATAATGTGATAAAATAACCCTATAATTGTAAACGGTGCTTTAAAATAAGTATTGTCCCTATTTCAATATTCGTCACTTATTTCCTCTTCCAAGAAGGGGATTGTTTTCTATGTTTCTTCAAAGTTTTACATTTTTAACCATGGTTTGTCTGTAAATTTAGAAAAACAGATTTTGATTTGATTTGTGGTCCTGAGAGAGAGAGAGAGAGAGAGAGAGAGAGAGAGAGAGAGAGAGAGAGAGAGAGAGAGAGAGAGAGAGTAGTGCATAGTATGCACCATGCCTCCTAGCGCCTCCCTCACCATTAGTAATGCCTTTTGCAGTTATGTGTAAGCTTAAAAGGGGTGCAGCATCAGAGCTTATTAAATCCTATCAGGATTCTCTTCGCTTGATGGATGGGATTGAGTATGTACTGAGGAAATCTAACTTTTTTTCCAAGACATAAACTAAAAGCCATTTTCTGAAATATTTTTTTAACTGAATGAAAATGAAAATTTTCACAATAATATTGTGTCATTTTCCACAATAAAACTTGGTAAAAACGTGAGGCAATTAAAACCAGTAAAATACGTACAGTATATATGTTATCTCCTTAATGTAAAATGTTATGAAAAGAAGTATAGCTGGATGCAAAAAAATAAATAGATAGATTAAATTATTGGGTTTCAGAATCCTCTTAAAAGCTGTTTAAGGAAAAATAATTGAAGCAGAAGATTTGGGAAGAACTGTTTATTGAAATGTTTTATGGCACCATGATTCTATGCACCTATTCATAAAATATGAATCAACAAAGTCAGTATGTAATTTTTGGCTTATATCTATAAATATATAGCTTTTGGAAAGAAAATCATTTCTTCACTGGGCTTAATTGATTAATATGGTAAAAAGGAAAAACATACAGCAAGATGTTACGAGTGAAATAAAGCCAACATCGGAAATACCAGACATGTTCATAACATTCAGATAACTTGTGAAACCTTGTAGACCACAGAATCTTCGTACGTGCAAGGATGCTTTATAATTCTTCCTACCTGTCCTTAATTTTTTGAGCATTATTGCTGTTTAACCTGACTCCAGTCTGATTATGATACTAAAGTGAACTTCGATGCCATTTTTTTTTGTTTCCAGATAATTGGTGTACCATCCCCTTCATCCTTGTTTAAGCACATTGTTCCAATGATGCGCTCTGAGAGCATGGAAATTACAGAATCCCTTGTGCTGGGCCTTGGCAGAACTAGCCCAGGAGCTTTTAGGTAAATAAATGCTTTAAAAGTATCTGTTTTTGCTGCTGACCTGAAATAAAACAAAGCACAACATTCCCATCTTTTGGTAAAACTAATGTTGTTTTTCCTAGTGCTAAATAGAATGCAAATAAACACAAATAATAAAGTGAGTGGGAAAACTCTATAATCGACAGAACTTTCTGGTAGCTGAGCCAAATCGCTTGGCAACACAACTTATCTCCTTTTGACCCCATTAAGTCATGATAATTCTTGTTCAAGAATTACACATTGTGGGAGTTTCTTCTCACATTGATAAGAAATATTGGCAATCCTAGGTTTGTATTATAGATTTATATGTATGATTTTTTAAGGAGGTGTCCGGTGGTACCCCAACTTCACAGGACGGGATGGTTGAGTGAGGAAGGGAAGTAGGAAAGAGGGAGGAAGGAGGAGTGGTGGTAGAATGGGAGGAGGAAGGAGTGGTAAGTGGAAGAGGGTGGTGCGGGAGGGGTACACCGGACACGTCTGTGAATGTTTTGTTTAGTTTTATTCTCTTTGGTTGTTATTGTGATAAAAGATTTATGTTTTTGTTTTTTAAATGAAAAACAATAAAAAAATTTAAATTAAAAAAAAAAGAAATATTGGCAATTATAAAAACAGCCAGCATATTTTTAGTTATCCACTTTTTATAAAAGAGATACGTTTCCAATCCCTTTCATCATAAAAATGGAGAAAATTGGGTTTTTTCGTTCTGGAATTCCTGTATGGTAATCTTAACCTTCCTTCTAGTGAATATTACTAGGCATAGCGCTGGGAAAATTGAGAAGAGGGAAGTCAAACATTTGTCCTCTAGGGCGGGGGTCCCCAACCCCTGGTCCGTGGACCGGTACTGGGCTGCAGCATGCCAGCAACCGGTCCGCACAAACAAGCAAAGCCCTATCAGCAGGATGCAGGCAGCACACAAAACCACGCACTCGCCGGTCCGCGGAAAAACCTCTCACCACGGAACCGTTTCCTGGTGCCCAAAAGATTGGGGATCTCTGCTCTAGGGGACAAACTCTGCTTGTGGTCCCAAATCTAGAGTAGGAAGCATCTAGTTTCCTTCATAAAGGAAGTCTGTCCAATTTCTACCCCATAATGGGTTGCTCCAGGCTTTGTGTGATATATCAAGGACTGCACGCCAAACTAGATGGACCAAGGATATATCTTGAGGGGTATTTGAGGAAGGGGTCTTAAGGGTCTGTAAAACTAAAGGTAAGCAATGTGCATCACAAAATCCCACCACTTTATCAGGGGATGACCTCACCCATTCTAAGGAAACGCTGGAATCTCAGTATTTAAAGTTATTATTTAAATATTCTTCTGCTATGTATTTCTTATGAAAAACATGCACTTTGGGGAAAAATTGAATATGTTCAGTTGTTTATTGACAGGGATTATAATGCCTGTTATATATTATTAGTAAATTCCACAACTGTACTTAACATTTTACATTTCTATAGTTATGTGTGTGTGTGTGTGTGTGTGTGTGTATGAGGTTGATATCTAAATATGCGTGTAATATTTAGAAATACAATTATGCGTATAATATTTAGAAATACAATTATTAAAGTATTACCAAACTGATTTTTTAATTATTACACAGGGAATTAATAGAGGAGTTGCATCCTATAATTAAAGAAGCACTTGAAAGACGGCCAGAGGTAATCACTATTTTAAAAACTGTTTTGAGTACCCAGTGATTTCTGCATTTCTAATTTAGTTATTAAATAAAAACCTTAAAATTTGTGGCACATCAAGATTTTACACAGTGGCCTTTTAGGTATTTGAAAACTCCCTGGTTGGGAAAGAGGACATTCAGTACAGGTAGTCTTTGACTTAGTGACCATTCAAAGTTACAACGTCACTTTGACCATTTCTCACATTAATGACCTTTGAAGCCTCCTCATTGATCATGTGATCGAAATTCAGATGCTTGGCCGCTGGTTCGTACTTATGACAGTGGCAGCGTCCCAGGATCATGTGATCACCTGTTGCAATTTTCTGACAAGCCGAGTCAATGGAGAAGCCGGACTCACTTAACAACCAGGTTACTAAGTTATCAACTGCAGTGATTCACTTAACAACGGCGGCAAGGGAGGTCATAAAATGGGGCAAAACCCACTTAACAACGGAAATTTTGGATTCAATTGTGGTCGTAAGTCGAGGGCTACCTGTACTTTGGTGGAAGACCTGCAGGAATTCCAAGCCTAGGTTTGGAAGCTGAAAAAAAACCCTCCAGGAAGACAGCCCTAGCAAATCAATGTTAGCATAATTACCAAGGAAATAGCATGGATATGCCCTTGGAAACAACAGGAGAGCAGTTTTATGTCAAAGTCAGTAACAGCATATAGGACTGGAGTGCCCAAGAAAAAGATAAAGGAGGCCTCAATTTTATTGACCCAGACCCAGCTGTGATTTAATAGGTTTTAGTTTATCGCAGAAGGCTGGTGGGGGATTGCCCAATGTTGATTTCTACGTTTTTGTTTCAATCTTATGCCTTATAACGATGCTCAGAATTACATGATGGGGAGTTTGCACATTTTGTGATTTAGAAGTTTCCAGTAGAGCTTTTTTTTTTTTTTTTTTACTCTTTATGAGCCACACATAAACCCAACGTGTACAGTATTTTGATCTGTTGTGAGAATTACTGTATACGTGGTTGAATTTTCACATTTACGTTGTCCAATAAAAGAATTGCACAATATTTGTTTAAATGGTAAGATTAAATGCATTGTTCTAAAAGAAGTCTTTTTCTGCCTCCAGTGGAATTGCATAAGATTTATATTTCCTTTACTGTCCATTTTGCTAATGTATTTAAAATAAGGCCTTTATCTTGGTAGAGATTACGTACATTAAAGTAATAATAGTCTACAATCACGTATAAATATATGCGTGTCTAATATTGGACCATAAGAAAGGCTGAGCGCCAAAAAATTGAGGCCTTTGAACTATGGTGCTGGAGAAGACTCCTGCAAGTCCCCTGGACTGCAAGGCGATCAAACCGGTCAGTCCTAGAGGAGATCAACCCTGACTTTTAGAAGGCCATATCCTGAAGTTGAAACTCAAGTACTTTGGCCACCTAATGAGAAGGAAGGACTCACTGGAGAAGGGCCTAATGCTGGGAAAGATGGAGGGCAATAGAAGAATGGGACGACCGAGAATGAGGTGGCTGGCTGGAGTCACTGAAGCAGTAGGCGTGAGCTTCAATGGACTCCAGAAGATGGTAGAGGACAGGAAGGCCTGGAGGAACGTTGTCCATGGGGTCACGATGGGTCGGACACGACTTCGCAACTAACAACAACAACAAATATTGTTCTACTGGTAAAGGAGAATATTTGTAGCTGAGAGATGAAGAGCGATCCTTGGTGCTTTCCGAGTGTGATTGTTTTCTTGCAGACATTTCATTACCCAAACCAGGTAACATCATCACTAACATTGATGTTACCTATTTTGGGTAATGAAACGTCTGCAAGAAAACAACCAAGCTCAGAAAGCACTAAAGATCCTTAATATTATTCTGGCAGGAAATAACACGTTTATGATTTAGCTTTTGAAATTCCCATTTTGGCAAAAATAACCAAATTCATGCAATAATTTATCAGTTTTCCAAAACAAAGCATCATATTGTTTATCTTTGCAAACAGATGAAAGTTAAATGTCCAAACTGGTGTGTTATGATGTCAAATATCAATATAGCTTTACCATGCTGTTCTCTTTTAACTTCTTCAACAGAATATGAAACGACGTAGGCGGCGAGATATATTACGTGTGCAACTTGTAAGAATATTTGAACTGTTGGCAGATGCTGGTGTCATTAGTCACAGGTAAACAAATCAATTTTTATTCAGCTATACATCAGCAAAAACAGGTAAGTACAGTAGTGGCCAAAATTGTGGAAACCTTTTGGGAAAAGTGTATTTTTGAATTTTGATGGCTAATATAACACCACTTTTTTTGGAGTAGTACCATAAAATTATATATCAATGGAAAGATAATTTAATCAAGAATGTAATACAGCAAAGTTTGTTCAATTATCTGTACTGTATTCTATGAAAAGTTATAGCCAAATAACCAGAAAAAAGAAGCACAACTTGCTTAGGTTGATATCAGGAAGCTTTCCTTCATCTGATTGTAGCCAATGAGAGTGAGTGTTTAGAGAGCCAATCAAGTGTCATCTTGTTTTGGCAATGAGCCAATCAGATCACAGTAGGATTCAGTGATTGATGTTGCCCAGTGATTGACTGGTTGCCCAGAAAGCGATGTAAAATGGTATTATTAAGTGAACAAGGCTACAGTTATAAAGAAATTAGAAGAAAAATTGGTGGAAACGTAACCAAAGGTGGCATTTCTACTGTACACTTTTCCCAAAAGGTTTCCACAATTTTGGCCACTACTGTATATTATCTAAGAGTGGTCTGCAGAAAACTACCTTAAATACTGTGCTGATATGCTGAAGAGGATCATAGGACATTATTATTTTTTTGATTTATATCTCACCTTTCTTTCATGTACTTAAGGCAATGTGCAAAATATTCCTCCTTCTTTGTTTTCTCCCTACAAATCTCCCCAATGAGTAGGTAAGACTGAGACAAACTAATGGCCCAGTGTCACCCAACAAGCTAAGGGTGATTTCCCTGATGTTAGTCCAGTTAATTACAATGACTTTTATCCACTCGCACATCCTCTATATTAGAATTATATCAGCATTATAGAGCACAAATTATGGAGTAGTTCCTCTGATTCAGTGTTTCTCAACCTTGGCCAGTTGAAGAAGTGTGGCTAATTCTGTGAATTGAAGTCCACTGATCTTAAAGTGCTCAAGGTTGAGAAAAATGGATTGATTCGGCTAGCATTGCTATAGTGGCTCATATCAAAAAAATTACAGAGACACATATAGCCTGAGAGTTTATACTAATATGTCTTTCATCAAAATTCCTCCCTACCAATTGCTGCTGTTTGTTCCTACAGCAATTGCCCTCCTCCCAAAGGCATTTATATTTCAGGGACTGCTTGTGGATGTGATGCTCATCAGCTCCTACTGCTGATGGTCCATTGCCCCTTTGTGCAATGCCCAACATCTTTATTGGACTTTATTTTATAAGAAGATGGGGCTTCCCGCTATAAATAAATCCCAAGAAGCAACCACTATAAATAAGCCCGAGAAGCAACTTGGCTTCCATACGCATCCCTAGTTTCCATCCAGGAAGGCCATCTGAGGAAATATTTCATCCAGTGAGTTCAATTCCTCTCTGTTCTCTAGGAGATAGATGAGCTCAAATATTTATTTATTTATTTATTTATAATTGG